AAATACATACATTGAGGGCTTGGAAGGTGGCTCAATGGTAGAATCCTTGCCTTGCATGCATGAGGCCCTAGGTTCAATTCCTCAGCACCACATAAGCAGAAAAAACCACAAGTGGTACTGTGGCTCAAGTGGTAGAGCAGTAGCCTTGAGCTGAAGAGCTGAGGGACAGAGCCCAGGTCCAGATTTCAGGCCCCACCACCAACACACACACACACACAAATACATGCATTGAGAAGAGGAAATGACAGTATTAGGTGCAGATATGTCCCAGGCAATTTATTTCCTATTCTGGAATCAGTGACCTGAGGGAATCAGGCCTAGAGGTTTCTACTCATCCTCTACAGGAAGAACAGCTGGCTTAGCTGAGTAACAGTGGTTTTCAGGTATTGCACTGGAATTGAAGCTCACTTTGCTAGATATCTAAGTGGAAAACCTTTGGGCTCTTTTCCTAGAAAATTAAAACTAATGATTATATATTTGTATATGTTAGCATGTTTGGGTGTTGTCGATTTATTCCTATAATTGTAGCCACTGGGGAGGCTGAGGTTTAAGCTTCTTCTAGCTAGCCCATGCAGCATTTGCTTTGTAAGTGAGATACAATCAAACCGGGAATCATGAACAGAAATTTCTTTGGAACATTCAGAAACTAAACATGTTTGTAATTAACATATGAGTTTGAAGAGGAAGTCTCCAGGGAAGGTATTGTAACAATGCATCTAACTGAATAAAACTGAAAATACAACATACCAAAATTTGTGGGACACATCTAAATACATGCTGAGAAAAATGTTAGCAATAGCTGTTTACATAAAATAATTTCACTAATATATCTTACATCTTCCATAAATGTGTATCAGGTGGTACATCAAGCGCATTCATTTCTCATTCTTTTATAATCTACATATGGTATAGGCATCATATCAAATGATTCAACCATTTCTTTCTTTGAATTTAGGAAGATTTTTCCTCTTGTGCTAACTGTAGTTGAATAAGCCATGGGTTGCTTTTACTGAAATATTTTGATCATAAGCAGTAAAAGTAGAAATACTGACCAAAATTGGTGATGGATTTGCTCAGCTAATCCTAGAAAGGAATAAGCTGTAATGGGTAGAGCTCCCTGAGAAGCCCCAGTTTCCTCACTGTCTGTCTGAAGTCTCAGAACTGCTTTGTGAAAAGTGTGTGCAATCAGGACAGCTCTTTCCAACTGTGTAAAAACCAGAAAGAAACCTCCATGCACCTGTTTCACTGGTATAGCAACAGCTCAGCAGGAGAAATGAGTGAGCTCAGTAGTTCCTTGTCAAACAGGAGGGAAAATTGTTCTGCTGGGTTCAATTCCTCAGCACCACATAAGCAGAAAAAGCAGGGAGTAGTGCTGTGGCTCAAGTGGTAGAGTGCTATCCTTGAGCTGAAGAACTAAGAGACAGCACCCAGGCCCAGAGTTCAACCCTCTGACTGACAAAAACAAAAACACAAAAAACCACAAAAAACCTTCAGTGATGAATAAACCGGTATTTCCTCAAAACAAATTGCAATTTTACAAAGGGATGCCATCAATATATAGCTAGTATCAAGAAGAAGGATAGTTGTTGGGCAGTACAAGAGATAATAAATGAATAAATAAATAATATATTGAGAACAGTATATGAGCAAAGAACTCACATTTGTGTTTTGGTTAATCATAGGGCTTGAAATCAAGGCCAGGGCACTGTCCCTGAGACATTTTTGCTCAAAGCTCCTGTGCTACCACTTTGATCCACTCCTCTATTTCTGGCTTTTTGGTGGTCAATTGGAGACAAGGCTGTCGTGGACTTTTCTGTACAGGTTGGCTTCAAACGGTAATCCTCAGATCTGTCTCTTGGGTAGCTACAATTATAGGTGTGAGCCACCAGTACCAGGCTCCAAATTATTTGGGTACTTAATATTTTTTAGAACACGATCCCTATTCGAGTTTTAAGTCAAATGATCATGTAGATGTTTGTTGTAGTGAGAACTACTTGACAGAAAATTTCTTATGATGTATGTTAACTATTCTATCGATGCATTTCTTTCATGGGTGTGTGGTCCTGGCCTTAATCTCCCAGCCTGGGTGCTTTCCCTGAGATATTTTGTTCAAGGCTCATACTCTACCACTTAAGCCATAGCTCCACTTCTGTCTTTTTGGTAGTACTTGGAGATAAGAGTTTCAGGGCCTTTTCTGCCAGGGCTGGCTTTGAACTGTGATCCTTAGATATTAGTTTCCTGGGTAACCAGCATCACTTTTCATTTTAATTTTAAAAGACTAGGGATGTGGCTCAGTAATAGAGCTCTTACTTTCTATGTGGAAGGCCTTGGGTTTGATCCCCAGCACAAGAAAATATATGTATTACATTAGATGATTAGTTTTAGAAAGAAATTCACAAGAAACATTCAGAATTTTATAGGCATTCCCTGTCACAAGTCTTGCTTCATTTCTTAAAAACATTTCTTAAAGTGATTCACAGTGTTTATGTATTCCTGGAATCAGAATAATATTTTACCAAGCATTGCCCATCTCTAGCCTTTAGCTATAGATACAGTAATATAAGCCATGAAATTGATAGAGAAAAATAAAGGCAGTGGGAAAATGAGAGGAATTAGGCTGTAATCTTTCTCAAGTCTAGGGGATAGAAAATGGTTACAGGTGGTTGATAGGCATTGCAGAACCTGAGATATGGAAATCACTTCCTTAGGAACAATTTTAACAGTATTTCTTGGTTTGCTCCCACTGTATTGATATGAGTTAGTACATTCTAGAAAGAGTGAGCTACAAACCTGGGAGTCATCAGCAAACTCCACCCCTCCCCTCCAGTTCCATAGGAACCATAAGTAGGTGGATAGCCAACATGATGTTGCATCCCAGTAAGGAATAAAGGCTGACTTCATTCCAACCTGTCTTCAATGTTCCCAACTTTGCTTGTAACCAGATCGTAAAAGGGCATTGACTTTGGAATCAATCACTTCCCCTATAGTTTCTGATTACATTATTTGGCACATTATTTTGACCTTCCATTGAAAAGCTCTGTGTAAAAACAGAGGTTGTACTATCTTTTTGGAGTTTTTCAAGAAGATTAAATTAGCAAACATGAAAGCATTGTTGAAAGCCTGCTTTGTAAATACTGAGTCTGAATATTCTTATCTAAGTGCTTCCTATAGTTTTCTCCTGCATCCTATTTTATTTTTCCTCTAGCCGTCTAGATGATTTGCTGTCTATCCCTACTGGCCTTTTTGTTTCTTTAAATGACTTTTCTGTGTAACAGGGTTTTTAAAATTCTCTTTAATTTGTTGCCACTAGAGGGCAACATAGATGCATTACTACTCACCTGATCACACTGGAAAAGGGAGGATGAGACCACAGTACTTGGGTGAAATCCATCATTGAAAATTGAAGAGACTTTAGAAACCACTTCCGTACATTCTCATTTTAAAGGCTGGAATGCTAGACATTTAAACAAATACAAGCATGTAGTAAACTCATAGTTGAATTAAAACTTCTTTGTATAACTACTTAAACATAATTTTTAAAATTCTATTTAGAAAACAGTAGGTAGGATGGGTAGGTGGTGTCTGTAATCTGAGATCTGAGGATCCTACTAGCTTTGGCAGGAAAGTCCATGAGATTCTCATCTCCAATTATCCACCCAAAAGCCAGAAGGAGTGCTGTGGCTCAAGTGATAGGGAGCTAGCCAGGGCACAGAAACTCAGAAACATCACTTAGGCCCTGAGTTCCAGCCCTAAGACTGGCATGTGTGTACCCACACGCACACACATACAGCAGGTGATAATGTTTTTTAAATCACCAACTCCTCTCTACAAATTATACCTAAAAATAAATTTTATTTTCTCACCTATGATGTATTTGTTTTTAAAAAGATGTGCAAGAGCAAATGAGTCTTTTTACAAAGCTCATTTGCATATTTTTCAAAATTTACTGTGAATAATATAATTCAAAACTGAATTTACTTAGTCATTAAAATAGAAAACTCAGGTACATTCTAACCTTTACTTTCACTTGCAACAAATTATTGAATGTACTTAGATATCTGACCTACTTCAAACCATTCAATGATTTAGCTTTAAACAACCATGCATTCCAAAATATATGTTATATAAGAAGTATTTATGTTTATTGATGAATAAATAGAAAGAATGGAATAGAAATATTTTATAGGATTAAAAATAGACATATCCAAGGTAAACAAATAAATTTAAAGTCAATGTGAAGCACTCATTTCTCTACCCTTTATATTTATTTACATAGATTCCTTATGTCAAGAGAGTTTTTTGTTTGTTTGTTTGGTCAGTCATGGGAGAGGACAGACTTACACCGCTCATCTCCAGCCTTCCAGTGCTTGCAAGGGAAGCTTGACTGATTTTCAGTTCTTTCCTGGTTTTAACTTTGAAGTCTGACCCTTTTCATAGTGTCTTTTAGGATCATATATTTTTCCCTTCCCCTCCTCTATCTGTGTGCTCTACATTAGTTATTTAATGACCGCCTAAACAGAAAAGATCTTCTGGACATTTTTTTTTGACAGATTCTCTCAACCTTTGTTTTTTAAAATGATATAATGCTTCTAAAACTATCTCTTGCTTGATTACATTTACACTAGGCTTATGATCTTACACAGCAACAACTGTATATTAAAGGTATTAAAATGTCTAATGTAATGAAATAAAATACAGCTTATAGAAAGATAATGGTAACAAAAAAACTTGACTATGGCTGAATTAGGAAAAGCAAAGTATACTTCAAATCTGGCATATTTTACCTCAGAGAAACTAATATTGATAAAAGTTGGCAGTTGAAAGTAGTTGACATTGGAGTAACTTGCCTATCTATTAAAATTTTCAGTTTACTTTTAAAATTGTTCTGGCATTTTGACATAAAATTTAAAGCTGCAAGTTGCTAGATTATCAGCAAGATGTACACACTGGAATAAACAAACAATATATAAAGTAGGAGGTTTTTTTCTCCAGTGACATATTTATAGTTTAACATAGAGGCCTGTTTGAACACCAAATCCAGGACCTTTAGGTGGTTCAGTCAAAGAGGTAAGACCTCCAGCTGGCTCACAACAGAAACGTCCACTCCTTGGCCCAGGTTTTGGAACTTGGCCAGCGTTGAGGTCGTCTATAATGTCTTCAATATCTTTAGGTGTCAGATCCTCATAATAGTTGTCATTTATTTGAACCATTGGTGCATTTACACAAGCCCCTAAACATTCCACCTCTGTAAGAGTGAAAAGTTTGTCAGGTGTTGTCTCCCCAACCTTCAGTCCAAGCTTTTTCTGACTGGCATCCAGTATGCTGTCAGAGTTACGAAGCATGCAAGGTGTGGTAGTGCAGACCTGAATGTGGTATTTTCCAACTGGCTTTCGATTATACATTGTATAAAAAGTTGCAACTTCATATAGTCTCATTGGAGGTACTTGCAAAACTTCTGCAACCTTGTTCATAGCAGAGATGGGCAACCACCCATTCTGCTTTTGGGCTAAATCCAGGACTGGAAGCACAGCTGCTGCTTTGTGTCCTTCTGGATAGTTTTTCACAATTGCTTCTATTCTCTTATAGTTTTCTGGTGTGAAATCAAATGGGACATCTGGGTTATTCTCAGGCATATCTCTGTGCACAAATAAGGCTCCTCCAGCACCATTTTGCACAGATGACTTACGCAAATTCCTTATTTGTCTTCCCCACTGGGCAGAGAGGCTGGCTACTCTGGCCTGAAATGCCAGGGAGAAGAACATGGCAGGCCCTCTTCTGGACATTCATGACTTTTCAGTTACTTTAATTGGGACTAAAGCAAGGGTGTTTTTTTTTTTTTTTTCTTTTTTCTTTTTTTTTTCACTGAGGAAGGGAGAACTCACTACCCAATTCTAAAAAAAAAAGAAGAGCTTTGCACAACTTTTTTCTTTCTTAATGTGTAAACAATAGGACATTGTTTACCTCACAGTCCAAGTCATGGCATCCTCACCTCTCGATTGATGTCTGTTGCCTTACTGCATCCTCAATGCTCAACAGGCAGGCAGAGAGCACACCTTTCTTTTTTTTTCTTTTTTCTTTCTTTCTTTCTTTTTTTTTTTTTGTGGAACAGTCCTGGAGATTGAACCCAGGTCTTTGCACTTTCCCTGGGCTTTTTTTTTTTTTTTCAGTCCTGGGGCTTGAACTCTGGGCTTGGGTGCTATCCCTCAGCTCTTCACCTCAAGGCAAGTGCTCTTCCGTTTTGCCACAGTACCACTTCTAGTTCTGTAGTGGTTTATTGGAGATAAGAGTCGCATGGACTTTCCTGCCTGGGCTGGCTTTGAACCGTGATCCTCAGATCTTAGCCGGATTACAGGCGTGAGCCACCAGCGCCCGGCTTCCTTGGGTTTTTGTTGTGCATAAGGCAAGCATTCCATCACTTGAGCCACAGCTCTGTTTATGATCTTTTTGTAGTTTATTGGAGATAATAGTTTCACAGACTTGACTGCCCAAGCTGGATTTGAGGTGATTTCCTTTGAACAGCAGCCTGAATAGCTAGGATTTCAGGCATGAGCCACAAGCACCCAGATAACACAATTTTGATTTATTTTCTAGGTTGGTGTATTGTGGTGAAGATTAAGAACCTTCTTAAAACCCTACCAAGACCATCCACAGAGTCATAGTTAGGTTCAACTCTATCTGATGCTTCTTTAGGGAACAGAAAGAAAAGTTTTTCCTTAATAATAAATTCCTATGAAATACCAGACGATATGTATGAGTACTAGTAATTTTGTTACATAAAATCTGTGCATCTTCTGTCATTTTAAAATTATTCTAGATTTAATGCTATTCTGTGTATAATGAATTTTCTCAGTTTTTGTTTCAAAATCAAAAGGCAGAGTTTATTGTGTCTGCTTAACTAGACTTTGTAAAACACAACACTGAAAGGAAGTCAAGTTTCTGTTAAACAGCTACCAGTGTGGCATGAAGAATAATGTGATGCTGTTTTGAAACAGCTGAATTCTGCTACCTGTAGTTAAAAAGACTATGTATTTATGCAGGAGGTATTTTTTGTGTGAGTATGGATTTGTGTATGTTTGTGCATATGTGAGTTTGTGATGTATTTTTGTGTGCCAGTTCTGGTGTTTGATATGGTTTTTGTGGATCTACTTGGCTATTTAGTCAGTGCTAGCACTCTATACCTTGAGCCACATTTCTACTTTCATGGACAACAGGGTTTGCATTGTTTAGTTTTGGTTTTGTGCCAGTCCTGGGATTGAAATTGGCCTTGTCTGCTTTTGAGGAGCTAGGCTTATAAGCATCAGGCACTGGGGCCCCGCAGGCAGTTTTTAATCGTGGGCTCTCTGGGTGGGCTTCAGGGATTAGTACTAGCCTTAAGAAGCAAACAGGATTTTATATGTGTTTGCGTTCCTTGTGTTGATCAGTTCATATTCCAGATACTCGCTAGAGCTGTTTGAATTGAAAATCACTGGGTACCACATAATTTCAAAAAAGATTAGGAAGTATTGTTTCCCAAAGCTTTCATTGATTCATTTCAGGAAGCTTGTTTCCTGACTGTGACATGATCAAATTACAGAGACTAGATAGATAGGACTGGAAATCTCAGATAGATTAACAAATTTTGTGATGGTAAAGAGAAGCCAATAGGCGATGGATGATATGTTAATGACATATGAATCCGAGTTTAGAAGTTGAAGCAATTGTAGAGGAATGTAGATTTCATTGCAGCTATGGAATAAATGGCTTGTGTGGGTGAAGATGAATATCACTAACATTGAAGAGGACTGCTGCACTGTGGCTCACACCTATCATCCTAACTACCTAGGAGGCTAAAATCAGAAGGATCAACATTTTGCTAGCATAGGCAGAAAAATGTGAGTGGGCCAGCTCAGAAATAACCATCAACTTCTGGGCACTGGTGATTCATGCATGTAATCCTAGCTACTCAGGAAGCTAAGATTGGAGGATAGATGGTTAAAGCCAGCCTGGGCAGAAAGTCAGTGAAATGCTTATCTGAAATGAACCACCAAAACATCAGAAGTAGAATTGTGAAACTGGCTCAACTGGTAGATTATTACCCTGAGCAAAAGAGCTCATTGACAGCACCCAGATCCTGAGTTAATGCTCCTGGACTGTACCAGGAAAACAACAATGACAACAACAACAATATAAAAAAAAAAAAAAACAGATCTAGAGTCATGATTCTAGAGGAAGAGGTGACCACCCTAGCAAGGATGAGACCTTGAGTGCAAAGGAATAGGAAAACAAGAAGATCTGGGTCTGTATGTTGATTGGAAAGACTCAAAGTGATGATGCTGCAGGGTAAAAGGAGTCTGAAAAATAACTAAATCTATGTAAGTAAATAAAGATGAACAAAATGTGAAAATTTAAAAAGTTTTGAAGTACATACCTACCAACTCTCAGGCCTTGAGTTCAAATCTCAGTACTACTAACCAATAAAACATCAAATTTAACTTTGGGTGGCATTTTTCTCATATACTGACATTTCCTCAAATTGTCAAATGTTGGTCTTCTGAAAGACGGGGAAATAAGTACAGTTTTCACATTCCAATCCAACAAGATGTGATCTGATTCTTTTTTGTTTATTTTATTTTAATTTTTTATTGTGAAGGTGATGTAAAGAGGAGTTACAGTTATGTTAGGTAATGAATACATTTCTTTCAAACAGTGTTACCTCCTCCCTTGCTTTCTCCCTCTTCCCTCCCCTACCAAATCCCCTCCCCCTCAAGTTGTAATGTTCATTTCCAACATAATGTCTTGTTCGCTGGTACATTAGTTCATTCACCCTTTGTCCTTTGTCTCACTATTTTGTTTTTCCCCTTCCCTTCCACAAATTAGATAAACGTATATACAAGACACAGGGTACCAAAATAAAAAACACTGACAACAGGGCATAAACCAAAGGAAAAAAAATGAAAGAAAAAAGAAATCGCTTCCCACAGTGCATTTAAAAAACAAAGCAAAACAGAAAAACGTCTTATTTCCATATCTTGGAATTTATTTCAATTAGCGTCATTTTATATGGTCATATGTACACAGCTATTGAGCTATTGTGATCCCCAGCTAGGACTATCGTAAACATATACTAATAATTACAAATGAGGGAAACCATAGAGCCTGTGTTTCTTTAGGTCTGGCTTACTTTACTTCATACGATTTTTTCCAAGTCTTTCCATTTCTTTACGAATAAGGTGATGCCATTCTTTCTGACAGAAAGCATAGAATTCCATTGTGTATATATACCACATTTTCTTGATCTATTCATCTACTGAGGGGCATCTGAGGGTTGGTTCTATATTTTACCATCTTAGGTAGATAATGCTGCAATGAACATAGTTGTGCTGGTAGCTTTAGTGTGGCAATTTTTGTGGTCTTTGAACTAAATGCCCAGGAGTGGGATTGCTGGATCATAGGGGACTCCAGACTGCTTTCCAAAGTGGTAGAACCAGTTAACATCCCCACCAACAGTGTAGTAGTGTTCCCTACAAATGAGTACATTTCTTTTTGAATAGTCTTACTTACCCTGCTCTGTCACTTTTCCCAATCCCCCTCTCTGGACTCCCCTCCATGGTCTGGTTCTTAGAAGTCCAGTTCTACCACTGTGAATGGTATAATCTTGTCATAGTTCTCTCACTAATGAGCTCCATCCTTTTGGCTTTTATTGCTTACATCACTGCTTTAAAATATAAATAGAAAAAGTACCAATCTTGCTCTTAAGGAATTTATAATCCAAATTTAGTAAGCAATATGACCCAGTAATAAATTAGGATATGGCAATCACTCCATCAAGAATTATAAGTTCAAGTCCAGATGATTTTAAAAGAAAGAAGATTCCATCCATTCTGAGGACTCAACACACGTGGCTTTGCATGAGAAGATAGAATTTTTAGATGGGTAGTTTGATGTTGCTCCAACAGTATCAGTTTTTTAAATGTTCAATGCTTAAATAGTTGCACAAAGTGGTTACAATTCCCTAAGTACAGGTATGAGCAAAATAAATCTTGACCAGTGTCAGTCCTTTCATTGTTTTCCTTCATTTTCACCCTCCCATTCCTACCCTCAAGTTACATAGTTCAGTTTTTACATAATGTACATTGCATATAATGACTTTTATTCATCCATTCTTCCCTCTATATGTGTCTCCCCTCACTTGTCTCCCCTTCCAAACATGTTTCTGTTTGTTAAGTAGTTTATTATTTGTTCAGAAGAATAACACCTATGTAATCTTCCTAAGTAAACAATTTTTCGTCAGTTGTGTGTACGCATAAAACCCTGTATATGTTATCATGCATGTTTTTATTTTAGAACTAGATTCTACCTGAGAAAAAACATGTGTTATTTGCCTCTCTGAGCCTGACTTACATCACTTACTGTAATTTTTTCAAGATCTACCTCTTTCCCCTCAAGGGACTTATTATTCTTTGTAATAGATGAGTAAAATTCCATTTTCTGATCCTCTCATCCTTTGTAGAGCATCTGGGCCCCTTCTCGAACTTGGCTATGGTGAACAGTGCTGCAGCCAGCATGGATGTGCAAGCATCTTTACTATCTTCTGACTTGTAATAATCTTGGTAAATGCCCAAGAGTGATAACACTGGATGCTAGGGTCATTCTATGTGTAGTTCTTGTTGAGTCTCCAAATTGCCTCACAGAGTGGTTGTGCTAGTTTACATCCACATCACAGTGCAAAGAGTTCCTCCCACCTCCCCTAGATGCCCACCAGGATTTGTTGTTTATATTCTTTCT